TGGGGCCGCTGCTGCCCGGGCAGGTGCTGCAGGCCAACCCCATGCTCACCTCCGAGGGCCAGCCCGCGCCGCTGCCCGGCGGGGACGTGCCGGGCTTTACCCCCGCGCCCCCCGCCGCCCCCGAGGAGATCCACCCGCTCAAGGAGCAGCCGGCCAACGGCTCGGGAGAGGGGCATGCCAAGCCCCGCAAAGCCTTCCCGGTCATCGGCATCGACTACACGCACGTCCGCATCCCCTTCGAGATCTCCCTCTGGATCCTCCTGGCCTGCCTCATGAAGCTGGGTAGGTGGGCGGCGTGGTGGGGGGAGTCCGTGGGGAAGGGCCTGGGAAGTGGCCTGGAGATGGAGGAACCCCCGGAGCAGCACAGAGCGGGATGCCCTGTGTTGTGTCTGGGCGAGTGGGACAGACACCCCCAAACATCACAAGGAGTGACCCTGTGAGCATCTAGCACGAGGGACCCGCCGAGCATCTCAGGGTGGGACCCCCAGATGTATGGGACAGACCCCCCCCCAATCATCCCAAGGAGTGACTGCTGTGAACATCCCAAGGAGGGACCCTCTTGAACATCCTAGGGAGAGACCCCTCTGAACATTCCAGGGTGGGACCTCTGCAAACATCCCAGGGCAAAATCTCCTGCACATCTTCTGCAAACCTCCCAGGCTGGCTGGGCCAGGTGGGCACTGCTCTCCCCACGACCTTGGCTCTCTGTCCTGGGCCTGGTGGACATCCCGGTCCCTCCACTCCCAGACTCCTCATCTGCGGGCCTGGAGATGCTCCTGACCCTTGCTTGGACCCGCTTTGTTTTCCTCCCTTTGACACTCAGGGAGGAAGCATCAGTTTGCTCACTTCCTCTCCAGAGCAAAGATGCTTTTTGTAACCTTGGAGAAGTCACTCAGAAACCTCCCGGTGCTTCGGCCTCCCCTTCCTCCCCCTCCGCAGTTTGCCTCTGCTGCAAAGCGTCCGGAGATTCCCGCATTACAGAGAACGGCATCGGGGCTGGAAAAGTCACCCGCTCTAGGAAAGCGTGGCTCTGCTGGGGCAGGGGTTGTTGACAAAGTGTTTTCCAAACTTCTGCAGCTGGATCAATACCAGCCAAATTTCCCCAAAGCTGAGATGTGATGTAACGGCTCCGCCAGCCCTGCTGTGCTGTCCCCAGCCTCCAGCAGTGCAGAGGCTGAGCTGGCCCCGGGCCCAGCCCTGGTGATAAAGCCGGGGGGACAGGTGAAATGTTTGCCTCAGAGCAGGTGAGGAGGGAGGGGAGCTCTGCACTCCTTCATTTTGCTCCTCCAGTGCCATCGGTGATTTAATAACACTCATGGGGCTCTCCAGCTTGCTGAGGGAAATCTTGCTTTCGGAGCTTTTTAAAGCTGGTTTCCTGTTGTAAACTGTGCCCTGTCCTGGTCTGGAGGGCTCTGAGAGACCCCCAGGAGCTCAGATCCTTCCTGCCCAGCTACTCCTAAAATATATCCCTTCTCAGCCCGCTGTGAGCGTGCGTAGGCAGGTGAAGCCCCATTTCCACAATCCCTCCTGAGTGTTTTATTTACATGCAGGCGGAGGAGTGAGAACACTTCAGACCCGGAGGCTTGTCTGGGAGACAGGCAGTCAGGACAGGGTGGAACCAGGGGGGAACCATGGGGTTTGTGCCTTCCTGGCGTTGCCCAGAAGGACCTCGGGCACGTTTAGCTGGAAGGTGCCTCTCCCTCGGGAACACAAATCTGCTTTCGCAGGGCTCCGCTGTTGCACTGCGCCTTCAGCCCTGCTGGGAGAGCAAAGAGTGATGAAATCAGGAGTATCTGTGCGGAAGCTGGTGGAGAAAGGAGGGGCCAATGGCCTGCGGCCCTGCCGGGACACACGGAAAACGCGCTGGAAACAGCCAGAGTGGGCAGCGGGAAGCGGCTCCAGGGGGATGGATGGATGGATGGATGGATGGATGGATGGATGGATGGAGGGATGATGGATGGATGGATGGATGGATGGATGGATGGATGGATGGATGGATGGAGGGATGTGGGGGGACACCACGATATCTCTGCCACTGCTGCTGTGGGAAGCTGCTCCTGCCGCCCTTGCCTGGAGTCAGGGCTTGTTTGTGCTTCAGGAAAAGTTGTGTCTGCCGGCTGTCAGGTCTTTGATGCTACAAATATTATGCAAGACTTCGTGTTTTAAGGGGTGTACTTTAAGTGAGGCTGCCCTGCAAGTTTGGCAAAGGTCTTTGGCAGGTGCTCTGCAGAGCTCCAGAGATGCTGACTATGCCAAAATCCACACCTTAGCTTACCTGCAACTCTGACAGGGCCTTGACAGCAGGGTGGTCCTGGGACACCCTTTTCCTCGGCCTCCTTTCCAGGGTTTCTTGTTCCTGCTGCCTTGGCAGGTCGTTCCCAAGTTGTTGGTACAGCTCCCTCTGCTCGTGAGCTGCAAAAAAGCATCTCACTGCTCCGTGTCCATACCCCAGCCTTGTCTATCCCACCCTGGATTCCAGGGTGTTGTTCAGCAGCTGCAAATAGGCTTTTTTCCACCCAGGGACAGCTGTTACACAACTGGGCACTGCTGGCAGTACAACCTGGAACGGCAGGATGCAGCTCACACAGCTCCAGGCTCCCTAAACCGGACAGGGTTTGCAGCATCCCGTTTCCAGGAAGAGGGGAAGGGGGCTGATAAACAGAACAGGAGTTTGCAGTGCTTCCTCTTTCTGCTCACCCTGTCAGTGTTCATTTATTGATGCATAAGGGTGATCCTGCGAAATTCTGAGGGGACCAACATCTTCTTTTTCCAAGAGCAGGAATTCCAGCGGTGTGGGCTGTGCATGACAGTCTGACTGACTGACTGCACCTCCTGGCTGCCCTTCCCCAGCTCCACAGGCCTCTTTGCTGGGCTGAAGCTGGGGATTCAGCCACAGGTTGCTACAAAACTGAGTCTTCAACCCTTTGAGTTGCTTCAGGGTGTCATCCTCAGGGTAGTGCAGAGTGACCATGTCGAGGAGCTCAGAAGTACTGACAAGGCTCTGCTCCAGGCCAGGAGATGCAACCTGGGGTCCTTTGCTCAGTTTCCCCCTGTTGCTCTTGATGCTTTAGTATGCTCTTCAGACTTAAATGCATCCTCCTGTTGTCCCATGCAGGGGATTTGTACTTTCTCCAGCAGCTCTCACAGTGAGTTTGTTTGGGCCATCAAAAGTGTGACTTGAGCCTTTCCCAACTTGCTGCAGTTTTCATAAAATGCCTCAGAGTTTCTGGAGGGTTCCTCACCTGACAGGGCACCGAGGGACGTGTCTCCCCAGCATGTCCTGCAGGTGTGGGCTGCTCCTGCTTTGTTAATCCCAGGGGAGAAGGGGAAGCTGGTGCTGGCTGCTTTACTTAATACTCCCATGGTGTTTTAAGGCTGTGTAGGGGAAGAGAGAGTGAGGGGCAGCTACAGCCTTGTGCAGGTCACATCTGGTGGTGGCCTGGCTTTGCCAGGAGAAACCTTTGAAGCTGCAAGTTACAAGCAGACATTGTCTCAACCTGTTGTGTTGTTGCAGAAGGTCAGACCTCCACAAAACACCCCAGTCAGGAGCTCTCTGTTCCCTCTCCGTGGTTTTGCAGGGATGTTTTAAGGGTGCCCAGGGAATGGTTGGGAATGGAAGAGGTGGTTCCCAGCAGGAGAACCTGGTTTCCTCACTCAGGGGGTTGACTTTTCGGGTCATGTGGCTCCCAAAGACATTTCGGGGAATTCAAGTTTGACTGTAAATACTTCCTCGTTTCAGGGGAAGGGAAGGAGTGAGTCAGGAATGTAAATAACAGCTTGTGGTCAACAGTGCCTTTGCTGGCTGTGCTGGGGCTCAGCAGGCAGAGCTTTGTAGTGAGCACCAGCTCTTACCTTGGAGAAGAGCTGGGGCTACCTGTGCCTCCAAAGCCCATGCTTGACCCTTCCTTCTAAAGCTGGAGAGCAGAGAGTCATATTCCATTAGCCACCTTCTGCTGTGGCATGTCCTGCTGTCTGTCTGCACCAGAGGCTTCCCAGCATCCCTGGAGCATCCTGGCCATCCCACCACAGCTCAAGGAAATCACAGCGTGTGGTGGGTTCATCTTGGCTGGAAAGTAACCTAAAATTTATGTCTTGAGCCCAAGGTTTGAAAGTTGGGTGGTGTCTTTCCTTCTTTTCTCTGGGAGTCCATCTCCCCCAGATGGAGAGAGACTTCATGCCAGGGCATGCAGTGACAGATGAAGGGGAAGTGGTTTTATGGAGGCAGGTTTAGATTAGATATTAGAAAGAAACAGCTCACTCAAAGGCAGTGAGGCCCTGGCACAGGTGGCCAGAGCAGCTGTGGCTGCCCCGTCTCTGGCAGTGTCCAAGGCCAGGTTGGACAGGGCTTGGGAGCTGGGATAGTGGCAGGTGTCCTTGCCCAGAATGGGAGCTGTGGAACTGGATGGGCTTTAAGGTCCTTTCCAACCCAAACCGTTCAGTGATTCTGTGACTCCTGGTGCCCACCAAGCTGCTCTATCACTTTATCCTCTGCAGGAGAAACTAGGATGGAAAAAACCCTCATGGATCAAGATAAAGGCAATTTAATAAAGCAAAAGCAAAGGTCATGTGCAGAAACAAAGGGAAACAAAAGATTTATTCTCTACTTCCCATCAGCAGATGATGTCCAGCCACTTCCTGGGAAGTACCTTCAGGAGCATAGTGGCAGCTCCGGAAAGCAAATGTCGTAATTAGAACTGCCCACCCTCTCTTCCTCTTTACTCTTTGCTTTTATGTGGTGTGGAATATCCCTTTGGTCGGTCTGGGACAGTCCCAGCAGTGGGGACCACTGCTGCCCACCCCCAGCTCCTGGTGAGGGGCAAATATTGGGGGCAGCTTTGATGCTGTGAGTGGCGCCCAGCAGCAGGCGAAGCACAGGGTGTTATCACCTCCCTCCAGCCACGACAGAGGCTCTGCACTCTGAGAGCTGCCGTGGGGCAGCTGGACTGCAGCTCAGCCAGACCCAGGGCGTGGGGACATCACTCCCTGCATGTCCAGGCCGGTGACTGTGGTGGAGGGTCCCCACGAGGCAGCGCTTCACAGCTGAGCTCCTTCGCCCGCTGTGCGCCAGACGCTGCTGGCTGGGTTTGGAGCTGTGGCAGTCACTGAGTCACTGCTCTGTCTCCTCTTCCCCCTTGGCAGCGCTGCTGTGTCTGGGGTGTTCCCTGCCCCCCCAGACCGAGCTGCCTGCCTGGTGCTCACAGAACTGTCCCTGTTGTATCCCCACTGCGTCCCCACTGCGTCCCCACTGCGTCCCCACTGTGTCCCCACTCTCTGCTTGTTGG